CCTGTAGAAGCGACTGCGACATGGAGCTAAGACAGCTCCATTGAATATCATTAGCCGGCGACTTCTCGCGGCAAAAATGCGCGATATCGCGCGATAAATCGCTATGTGTGAATGGGGCCTTAGGAATGAGTATAGTATAAAGTGTTAGAAATATGAAGACTTCCTATATTTCCTAAAAACAGGAGACATATAGCTGAAAAATACCAATGACTACTTATGAAATCCTAGCAGCCAGAAACCCAAAGGGTCCTTTTCATCACATCGTATCCTATGTCCCTGACTGACTGGCATAAGAATTCTACGACTGGTGTCCTTCCATGATTTATAGGTAAAGATAAAGACACCGGCACTCCAAATTCATAAGCAAACGTCTATTTATTGACGTTTGCTTATGAATTGCACATCAATAAATAGGCGTTTGCTTATGAATTTGGAGTGCCGGTGTCTTTATCTTTACCTGCGATTATAACGGATGCCACCCGTTGACTACCGCAGCACCTGCTTTTCAAAGGGATTTGGCGGTCAGGAGTGCGATGGGACCATGGACTTTCTTCCATGATTTATAGCCCATCTCTAGCCCAAATGTTTTACAGTTGTATATAGAGTGTAGAAGGCTTAAAGGGTTATTAATCCCTCAGCGTGTTTTTGCATATATCTGCTAGCAAACAGGTTTAAACTTACCTGTGTCTTTGCGACCCGCTCCCGTCCAAACATCTGAAGAGTCTCGGGCAGCCGCAAAAAAATCTTGGGGCGGCCGCATGCGCACTTCAGATGTTTGGCGCCGGGAGACGAGGAGAGACACGAGTTAAGTCTATGGAGCAGCGTGCACCCGCGCAGACACCTTGGGACAGGAGAGAGGAGGAGGACGACAGAGGAGTCAGCGCTGGATCGGAGACCGGCACCAGCGCTGGAGGGACAGCTGAAAACGACAGGAAAGAAGAAGAAGATCGGATTAAGAGGTATCATTTAAGGTAAGTCCTTACACTAACATTGGGGGGGGGGTAGTAACCTTTAATGTCACTTTAAGGCTGGGTTCACACCTAGACGACAGCGTTTTTGCACAAGTTTTGTGTGCTTTTTCCACTTTTCTATGTGCGTTTTATGTGCATAAATCAGGATTGCACGTTTTTGTAAGCAGATTGTCGCTCGTTGACATGAAGACGCAAATGCACGTAAAACACATGCAAAAAGTGTGCAAAAACACAGCATACGCCCATTTTCAAGCTTTTTCCATTATGTCTATGGGGCCAAAACGAGCTGTAATATGGCAAAAAAACACATTTAAAAAAAAGCTCCTGTACTTTTTCCAGCAACAGGCATTTTGCTTATTGCGACAAAATGCTCAGATGTAAACAGGGCCAAAATAATTGAATGGGATTTTTGGGGGGGCATTATTATTTTTTTTTAGCGTTTTTTTTAGGGCAGAAAAAGCGCTACAAAACGCTCAGTGTGAACCAGGACTAAAACCTTTGTCAGGTTTTCTGTTAGGCCCCTATACACAGGCAGTGTCTGTTCCAATCAGCAAGGGATCCATATGAAATTGGAGAAGAATAGAACAGATATCACAAAAGTGTCTGTTCAGTTTTTTACTCCATCTTGTTAAAGGAGAACTATGGGGTTAAGGCTTTTCCCCATAGTTGTCCTTAGGGTAACGGGAGGACACAAACTAGCGTCCTCCCGTCACCCTAAGCTCAGTATACCGCGAGCTACATACTGAGACGCCGCAGCTGAAGCGGATCCTGACAATTATATCTGGATCCGCCCAGCTGCGTGACTGACAGCTGGCTCTGCCTATCTAAAGGCAGAGCCAGCTGTACCCGCCCCCTCCCCCGTCCGTTCCGCCAGTCAGCGCTGGTGGATCGAAGCGGGGAGGGGGGGAATCCACGTTTGACAAGCGGCACCGCCTGCTGTTGATTTTTGCCGCACTGTGCCACAAAGCACGGCAAGGTGTACAGCACTGTGCGGCTGCAGTGCTGACATTGCAGGGGTGGCTGGGGGGCATTAAAACTGCACATCAACCCCATGGTTTTACCACCCCTTCACCTCCCGTGTAAATGAGGCCTAATGGGGAACTTGGGAACCTGACAAAGGTTCTACCCCAATTCTAACCAAAAAGAAAACTTTTTGCCTAGAGATGCACTAAGTCCCCATCCACACCTGTGCAATTTGCATTTTTTTTTTTTTACCAACCTATATCTGTACTGCATACTACATGCAAACACTGTTACAAAACTAAGATCTTGCGATGGTTGTAAAGTGTATGGCCACCTTTAGAGTTACTACAATTATCTAATATAAAAGGAGCTCCCTAAACAATTTAATTTGCATCCTTATGCTACATGGTCATTAGTATTAGTAAAAGGAGATTGGACAATAAGCCTGCAATGTGTATAGTGCTCATGGAGTGTATTTCCACTTTTGCGGTGAAATTTGAGAAAACCCCCTCTATATGTCTGTTATGTGTTCCCATTCACACAGCATACGGACAAATAAACTGTAAAAATGATTTTTACCAAGAATATATATATATATAACACTAGAGGCAGCCTCTATTGCTTAGACTAAATGGCAATATGCAGATAAGGGACAATGTTAAACTGATATTAAAGTTAAAGGAGAACTATGGGGTCAGTGTTTTTCCCCATAGTTCTCCTTAGGGTAACGGTAAGACACAAACTAGCGTCCTCCTGTCACCCTAGGCTCAGTATACTGCGAGCTGTAGCTCACGGTATACTGAGACGCTGCAGCTGAAGCGGATCCCGACAATTATGTCTGGATCCGCTCAGCTGCGTGACTGACAGCTGGCTCTGCCTATCTAGAGGCAGAGCCAGCTGTACCCGCCCCCTCCCCCCTCCACTCAGCGCTGGCGGATCGGAGCGGGGAGGGGGGAATCCAGCCCCTCCCCTGTCACGGCAGAGAGCCGTGACAGGATCGAGAGGTGAGCGAACGCCGGTATGTGTTCGCTCACCTCCCGATTTACTGAGCCGACCTGTGACAGTCTCATTGTCACAGGTCGGCTAGAACTACGAAATGAGTGAAAAGCACTCACCTCATAGTTCTCCTTTAACCATTTCAAATGCTGGTTAAATCACTTACAATGGATGCTGCTTTTTTAAAAGTTTGTTTCCTGCAGAATCAGCTGGTTTCTTGAGCACTGGCCCTCATATCCTGTTTAGGGTAGCTGCTTTCCCTTGCAGGGTCCTATGGAGCCACCCTTGTGTGTGTTAGTAAGCTGTGTATGTCTCTAGAAACACACAGGCAAGTCACTCCCCTCCTTCCTGCTCTTCCACTCTTCTCTAAGCCAGTAGATGGAGAGTTGCTGGAGACTGCTCTATCCCCTGAGATCTTGTACTGGACAGGAAGTTCAGGGAAGCAGAGCTGAGAGAGTTGGAGCTGTTTGAAACCATGTCGACTGTTAGTTGTTGGGCAAACAATGATAAAAATACTTTGCAAGGCAATGCATATTTAATTGGAAAAAGAAGAGGAAAAAAAAAGGGTTAAAAGGAGAACTATGAGATGAGTGATTTCCACTCACCTCATAGTTAAATACTACTTTAAGATCTTCTTCACCATACAATGTACCAGCCAAGCCTTGAGATCTTTAACCCTTTGTCAGGACAGACAGTCCTGCACACAAGTTTACAACTAATAGATAAACTAAACTGATACATAAACAAACCTAATAAGGTCAGCCAGCACAGACAGGGTTAATTTTGGCAAACTTACTCCTCAGCCCCCTCCTTAACATTCCATTCAAGTCAAATTCAATTTTTTTGGCAAATAAAAAAAAGGTAAGCAGCATATTTTAAATTTTGTTTTTTAAAGTTATGCTATATGAATGGGAAGATGTCACAAATATAAAATATCCCAATCTGGCTGTAAAAGTGGAAGGGGCCATAGTGAAAGGCTTTTGTTTGCTTCGAGCGGGTTTTGTTTATGGGAATGCAAAACATGCAGGTCACAAGGAGGTCAGAAGCAGGTCAAGAGGAAGACAGCTGCGGGTCAGAAAGAAGGACAGCTGCGGGTCAGAAAGGAGGACAGCTGCGGGTCAGAAAGGAGGACAGCGGCGGGGCAGAAGCAGGTCAAGGGGAGGACTGAAGGACAGCTGCGGGTCAGAAGCAGGTCAAGGGGAGGACTGAAGGACAGCTGATGGTCAAACGCAGGTCAGGAGGAGGACAGCTGCGGGGTCAAAAAAGGAGGACAACTGCAGGTCAAATGCACCGGTCCATAAATTCTAAAATGATCTCAGAAGCTCATACGGGTGCCACTGAAACTTAAAGCCAATCCATATCCATAAATCAGATTGCAAAGTATGTGACCTGCTCAAGGCTTGGACCAGAGTAACAGATCTAAACCCTGCTAGAGTATGATTTGAAATTTCCTTTTTAGTGTATTTTCCAGCCCTATGAAAACGGAGAGCAGACGTTGATCTCCAACAGACACTGAATTGCTTATGCCATACTGCACCTGCATTTCCAACTCGTTCATACAATGTAGAGAACGTTATGAAGTCTGCTGCCTCCGCGGCGGGTTCTCTGCATATCGCTGCCTACTAGGGGAGATGCCAGTCACATTACTTTGACAGGTCATGTGAATGGGCTCTCCTCCTAACAATGTTTTACCTTACCTCATAAAAAGCACAAGTACATTTGTAAAGCAGTGATGTCTTTTATAAATATACCAGTTGTCTCTAAATCAAAAGCATGGCCATGGGAAGGCCACACTGCTGCTTTATACCTGGACCCCTTAACATGCTATCTCCACAATTACTATGTACGGTCAATTCTAATGTACATAAAATATGAGGATAGTCTGAGGCCCTTATAGTTTTCTGTATACCATCGTACACTTATTTCATCGCCTCCATATACCATCGTGTATAATGACAAGGCTGCTATAAGGAAGCAGTGTGCCAGCTTTGCCACATCATACACTTCTAATGACACAGGGGGCTCACACCAATCAGTATATACAGACAGGGCCCCGGGCCCCTGGCTCACCGCGGGCCTCTGAGCTGGGATACAGCTTCCCGGCTTTGGTCAGGAATTTTCTGGCTTTCTCTCGGTCCCCGACGATCAGCGCTGTCTTTGCGATCTGTAAGCACCGACTGGCTTCATCTTTATTACTCTCCATGATCCCGGGGCTCCTCTACTCCTCCAGCCCCGGCACTGAGCTCACAGTGACAGCAAAAGGCGACCGAGGGGAGGGATAATGTATACCGGCCCCTCCTTTCAACAAAACCATTTAACCACCGCCATCTTGCTACACTCATTCTACGAACCGGATATGAACTTCCGCCAACGGACGCGCTGACGTCATGAGTCCGTACGCCACGCCTCCGGTCTCTGTATATAGTGTATACATCTGGCGGGTATAAAGTGCACCTATTGCCGCTTTGCTAGAACATTTCAGTTTTTATTTTGATTAGACTGGGAAAAGGTTAGAACCATCGTCAGGTGTACTGATAGCTGAGGCTCCGTTAGACTTTCCCTCGCTTTCTGTTTTGGGTACAACGTTTTACCAGTTAGTAAGTGAAGGAATATCTGCAGCAAGGAACCAGACAACAATGAACGACTGACAAAGGTATACCCCTATGTAAAGGGTTTGTTCATAAAAAAACATCCTCTGCAGTCACTATAGACCAAGGGGGCCCATAAGGTCGATCGCGATCTACCAGTCCATCGCGTTGCGATCACTGGTAGATCGTGATGTCCTGGTTCTTCTCTGGATCCCCGGTGCTCTCCCCCATCTGTATGCAGCGGGGATCCCGGGAGAAGTGAATGAAGCAGTGCGGCAGCGGG